GAGAGCCCAGGTTCTACACCAGCCCAGCTATCACCTGGAAGGGCGTCCCCCTCTGTTGCATCTAGCACAGATGATGCTCTCCTCCCGGCCAGCAGCCGGCACAAGAGTCCGGCACCTGTGGTGCAATTTGGAGAAGCTCTAATGAACAAAATTTTTCTTGACACTACGGAGCTCATACGTTTATGCCAAGATAGCGGAAAGCAGGTTGAGCCGTGCATTCCAAGTGGACATTCGTAATACAATTTTGTGAAACCATCTTATTTACATTCACTTGGGTCTGTACTCACTTAATGGTGACTGCGGCGCATCCCGTCATTGTTTCTAATAAAATTTGGGCCTTCTCATTTGTAATTTGTTTGTGTTTACTAATGCAAACCATTTGTGTACTGTGCTATTCCATTCCTGCGCTCATGCGGCTGTCAATAAATTCCGTAAATGATTCCAAAGACTTCTGCCCATCTATATATCGACAATTTTTCAATCCAGAATCGGGAAGTGAAACAATGTTTCGCCAATTTGTGGCTGCTTAAAAATGTGATTTGCTGGATTTCCGAGTTATTATTTGTCCAATGAGTGGTGAACCACCGTCAAACTGGGAAATGGTGGCAGTAAGGGCCTGTGTTTATGTTCAGCGGCTGAGTAGTCTGAGGCCTTGAGTCCGAATCCCGCGATCTATTATATATGGGCTACTTAACCTCGTGTGTGGGGACACGATGAATGTTTGAGGAATTATATTTCAAATCACACTTTAAAAATAATTTGGAAACATTGTTTAAATGCAATCATCGAGCACCACTTTTAAGTTTGGCTTTTTCTCCCTAACAGGTTCACATCGAGTAATCTGTAACATCTCCGCAACCCTCAAAATACATAACAGAAGGGCACATAGGCAAGCAACCATGAAATATCTTGGTTGAGTTGGTTGAGATCAATATGTCAAATCTTGGTACTATTGAGGCAATAAAAGCTGACGCAATTAGAAAATTAATTCTATGACCAGCGACTGGTGTTAAATTTATATTGCCCTCGGAGAAATAATTTCTGGTCGCGAGTCACAGTCTGAGCATAGGAAACGGTGCGCCCCTGAAAATTGGCAGCACATAATGTTAATTAACAGCTTGCAAATCTGTACAATAGTTTACAATGCCACCTAAGGCAATCGGAAGTGACCCACATCTTTATAACCTCTGAGCATTTCTAGGGTTTGGTGGGAAATCTCGAGCGAATATATCAAGTATAGATTAATAACTTTGCGGCTGTACAGTTGTGTTTTTAGTGTTATATCATTCAAGAGTGATGTTAGTAATCACACAGGGACGATGTTTTTATGAGTTTACCGTTCGAGAGGAAAAGAGCACAACACTCTTTACTAGGGTTACAGATCGAGAGAGTTCTAAAAGGCCTACCATAAACATTAATCCAGAACCCGTCAAGTACACAAGAACTTTTTTTCAGATCAGTGCTGATAGTTCATTATGTATTGGAGATTAATGTATGCAGTGTCGTCGACAACACTAACATAGATTGCGCTACGTGATTGAAAAATGAACCGTAAATTGCGATGGAACAAATTTACATGAAGGAGAAGGGTTAAACCGTGATTTAAAAGAAACATCGGTCCGAAGACTATAGTAGGCTCCTTAGTGGTCTTTCGTATGACTGCTTGGTGTTTGTAGGAAGTCGCTGTTAAGAAAACATCACCAAGATTAAAGGTCCGATCAATTCCTAATATCGAGGGCGGATTGCGCACACAGCACATGTGACTCGTATGAGTCAGTGTGGTATCATCATATAAGATTACGGAAGGCACAGTATCTTTCACCTGTATGTGGGGCCCTGAACAAATGGGTGAGTCTGAACCATATTTATTACCTCTTGCACTTGGTCTGCAAAGTTGCTGGAGTGTCGCAACCCAAGAGATTTTTTTTTGCTTTTTTTGATATATATTTTTGATTCGAACCTGTCGTGCGTCGCGTGGTTGGGCGCGAAATGAACGTTCGAAAAGCATCTGATTGTAGACCTGGCTTGGCTGCTTGTCTATTACCGCGTCTGCAATTTTCCTAAGTGTCTTGGGACTTGTCCGGACGTAATTTTCTGCCCCTAGATCTGCAGCATTGCATGAGGGATCTGCCGGGAAACTTCCCAATATACTCGACAATGGCGATGTTCCTCGACGGCCCCTCATGCTCCACCCAGGACACGCGCCTCCTGTAGCTTGAGCAGGACTTTAATGTCGTGTAGTATCGGTGTAGTTGTAGGATTTCATTTGATGGCGGTTGTGGGGTAATGATCGGATAAACTTTTTGTCCATTACTCCTCTTATAATAGCAATACTGGCCGGCCTTCTTTACGATGTAAATCTGGTGCCCATCCTTTTTCCAGTATAGTGATGTTGGTGAAGAGCCACGTACTGAACTCCATGCCCCACAGTCATCAGGAAAGTGGCTCTTCAAGCCCTGCTCCCGTCTACGAATGTTTGCGGTATTCTCAACACGGAATGCGACATTCTCTTTAGGTCACACTTGGAATGCACGGCTCAACCTGCTTTCCGCTATCTTGGCATAAACGTATGAGCTCCGTAGTGTCAAGAAATTTTTTTTTTTCGCCGGGAGGAGAGCATCATCTGTGCTAGATGCAACAGAGGGG